TGCAGCTTACCTGTCTGCTTCTTGCTCTGACTGAGGGCTGCTGGGAGCAGGGGGTGGGGCTTGTTGCATGTGCCCGCCCCCTGGGCTCTTTACTGCCGGAGCTCCGCTCCTGTGCGCTCCTGCAGGAAATGACCCCTGAACACGACACACAACATTCCAGTTTTCAGCCTGCCCCTTTTGCTAGTCTTCTGGGCACTCCGATACTGGTCCCAGAGAAAAGCCGGCGAGGAGCTCTTTCCGCATGCTCACTTTTGAGTTATCCTCCTTCCAATGGCTAGGAACGATTCTCAGGCTGCGAACAGCAAATGAGAAGGAGCTCAAAAGTGGAGGGAAAGGGGCAATTTGGAGACCTTGGCTAAAACGGCAGAAGAGGACTAGTACAGCAAAGTGAATTTGCATTTGCACACGCAAAAAGGAACATCGTGTGCTTTCCCCCTGAAATGTAGCAGAAGAAAAAAAGGAGGAGGAGGAGACTTGGATTTATGCCCCGCCCTTCACTCAGAGTCTCAGAGCGGCTTGCAATCGCCTTCCCTTCCTCTCCCCACAATCACCAGGCCCAGATGGCATACATCCGAGAGTTCTGAAAGAACTCAAATGTGAACTTGTAGATCTCCTGACAAAGATATGTAATCTTTCCTTAAAATCTGCCTCCATTCCTGAGGATTGGAAGGTAGCTAATGTCACTCCCATCTTTAAAAAGGGTTCCAGAGGAGATCCGGGAAATTACAGGCCAGTCAGTCTGACGTCGATACCGGGTAAATTGGTGGAAACCATTATTAAGGAAAGAATTAGTAGGCACATAGATGAACAAAACCTATTGAGGCAGACTCAGCACGGTTTCTGTAAGGGAAGATCTTGTCTCACTAACCTGTTAGTGTTCTTTGAGGGGGTGAACAAACATGTGGACAAGGGGGATCCAATAGATATTATTTACCTTGACTTCCAGAAAGCTTTTGATAAAGTTCCTCATCAAAGGCTCCTAAGTAAGCTCAAAAATCATGGGATAGAAGGACAAGTCCTTTTATGGATCAAAAACTGGCTAGTTCATAGAAAACAGAGAGTGAGTGTAGGTGGGCAATTTTCTCAGTGGAGGGTGGTAAGCAGTGGGGTACCGCAGGGATCAGTACTTGGTCCACTGCTTTTTAACTTGTTCATTAATGATTTGGAGATGGGAGTAAGCAGTGAAGTGGCTAAATTTGCGGATGATACAAAGTTGTTCGGGGTGGTGAAAACCAGTGAGGATTGTGAGGCACTCCAAGGGGATCTGTCAAGGATGGGCGAGTGGGCGTCAACATGGCAAATGGGGTTCAATGTGGCCAAGTGCAAGGTGATGCACATTGGAGCTAAAAATCCTAAATATAAATACACATTGATGGGGTCTGAACTGGCAGAGACTGATCAAGAGAGAGATCTTGGAGTTGTAGTGGATAACTCACTGAAAATGTCGAGACAGTGTGTGACTGCAATAAAGAAGGCCAATGCTATGCTGGGGATTATTAGGAAGGGTATTGAAAACAGATCAGCCAATATCATAATGCCCCTATATAAATCAATGGTGCGACCTCATTTGGAATACTGTGTGCAGTTCTGGTCACCACACCTTAAAAAGGATATTATAGCTTTGGAAAAAGTGCAGAAAAGGGCAACTCGAATGATAAAAGGGTTGGAACACTTTCCCTATGAGGAAAGGTTAAAGCGCTTAGGGCTCTTTAGCTTGGAGAAATGACGACTGAGGGGTGACATGATCGAGGTTTATAAGATTATGCATGGGATAGAGCAGGTAGAGAAAGAAGTACTTTTCTCCCTTTCTCACAATACAAGAACTCGTGGGCACTCAATGAAATTGCTGAGCAGTTGGGTTAGAACAGATAAAAGGAAGTCCTTCTTCACCCAGAGAGTGATTAACACACGGAATTCACTGCCACAGGAAGTGGCAGCGGCTACAAGCATGGACAGCTTCAAGAGGGAATTAGATAAGCATCTGGAGCAGAGGTCCATCAGTGGCTATTAGCCACAAGGTATAGATAGGAACTCTCAGTCTGGGGCAAGGGATGCTCTGTATTCTTGGTGCTTGGGGGGAGGCTAAATAGTGGGAGGGCTCCTAGTGTCCTGGCCCCACTGCTGGACCTCCTGATGGCACCTGGTATTTCTGGCCACTGTGTGACACAGAACGTTGGACTGGATGGGCCTTCGGCCTGATCCAACATTGGCTTCTCTTATCTTATTACCCCAGGTCACCTAGCTGGCTGCTTGCGGAGGAGTGGGGAATCAAACCTGGCTCTCCCAGATTAGAGTCCACCGCTCTTAACCATGACACCAGACTGGCTCTCAACTGGAATCAGACATATGTGACGTCGGGAGCTTCATGAGCACTGCCCCTAGAAATTCTTTTTCTCTGAAAGGGGGAGGGGTTAAGCGCCCCCCCTATTGTTTTCCAAATTTGAAATGACCCTGAGGAGCTGGTATTTGATCCCCTGGGCACACATTTTGTTGTTGTTCAGTTGCACAGTCGAGTCCGACTCTTCGCGACCCCATGGACCAGCTCCCGCCAGGCCCTCCTGTCTTCTGCCGTCCTCTGAAGTTGGCTCAATTTCATGTTCGTTGCATCTATGACACTGTCTAGCCATCTCATCCTTTGCCGTCCCCGTCTTCTTTGACCTAGACTGATATTTCAAATAGTTGACTGAAATGCTTGATTTTAGGTACTATTTCATCTTTCTGTATCATAATAAACTTGAGAGGTTTATTATATGTTCGTTAGGGGGGTTTAAAATTTTTTTTAAAAGCCACACCTACCTCAAGGACTAAGCAAGAAGAATGTGTGTCCCTACGCCTGGCTTGTCCCGCAGGCAGCAGGTCCCCCACACCTGGTTTACCTGCATGAGCTTCCAGTTAGGAAAATAATACTGTGGGCTTCCGGTGGATGGATCGGCGATGGCGGTCGCTCTCCTCGGAGCTCGAGGAGGCGACTAGCACACCTTCGGCTTGGAGGGGTGCCACCTCAAGTGGCACTCCCATGGAACCCTTGCGGTGGGTTTCAAGCCAGAGGGCTTTTGAGGGTTAGCCTCTTCGACGGCTCGAAGCCGTGGAATAGTGGCTTCCCTCCGGCCTGATGGTCCAGCCGAGGGGTGACCTATGGGTGTAAGCCAATCTGACTGGGACAAGCGGAGGAGATCAAGCGGAATAGCGATGGAAGAGAGCGAGGTCAGAAGTGACCAACAATGAACGTGAGTGATAGATAAATGGACTGTTTTTGTAAAGCGAAGCTCCCCCCCCCCCCGTGGAGAAAGCGGAGTGCAGGGAGGGATGCCTCCTGAGCGATTGAATAGATCAAAGAAGCGAAGGGGGGAGAAACAGCGTTACATTTTGAGAGACTTACTTGAGCTTGGATAGAGAAACGGCGAGTCTTTCGAGCTCTGAAACAGAGGTGTTGAATTGTAAACAAAGAGAGAACATGGCGGTTCCACGAGGGAAAATAAAACCGAAAGGGAGCCAAAGTCCAAGATAGGAAGAGGGAGCAGACGTCATGAAGACGTTAGCGGATATGCTGAAACTGGTATTGGAGCAGCTCGGTGGTATTAACCAGCAACTGGCCACACTAAATCAAAACTTTGCCTTGCAGCAGCGCCAGCTGGCAGAGACGGAGAAAAAAGTGGAGCAGGCAACTGAGAAGCTGGTAGAGATGGACACCGGGAACAAAAAGATGAGGAAAAGAGTGACAGAGGTGGAAATAAAACAAAAGCTGCAGGAAAACCGTTTACTTCAGCTGCAAATGGAGAAAGCAAACATGACTCTCAGAATTTAGGGACTGCCTGAAAAGGAAAAAGAAGATTTGAAGAAGACTCTGGGAGAGATCATCGCTCCAGTAACAGGCTTATCAGCGGAGGAAATAATAAAAGATATAGAGTCTACCTATCGGGTATACTGTAATTACATTTTTAAAAATAGCCTGCCTGGGGAGATTGTAGTCAAGTTTGCAAGAAGACAGACCAGAGATGTTATATTAAAGGCAACTTCGGCAAATCCACTGAAGTTTGGGAATACAAATATTAAGACTCTAAAAGACATTCCATTTGAAATCTGTCAAAAGAGGAAAAGCTACAAAGAATTAATTTCATTCCTCCAGACAAATGGAATACAGTATCGCTGGGCGATCCCTAAAGGTGTCATCTTTAAAATTAATGATAAAAGAGAGAAGATTGACTCCATCTTTAAAGCAAAGGAATTTTTGAGATGACAGCTGGGGCCAGAAGCAGAACTCAAAGATGAAGAAACAAAATCGAGTGACTCTGCTACCTCTGGAATGGGAGAGGACTCTGGGGAGGAAGCGGGTGCGGGAGCTAGCAAAACGGTGTATGATTTCAGAGAAAGAAGTAAGGGCAGAAGGACTCTGAAAATAGCCCTATGAAAATAAGAAGATGCTCAAGAAGTGTTCTCAAAATATTAAAATTATTAACACTGAAGCAGTAGTTAAAAATAACTCACAAGTATATTGTTATACTAACACTTATTGACTAACATGTAGATTAACACGGAAATGGTCTCCTACTCTTGGGTTTTTAGTTAGTGTGGGTATCTTTTCTTTATCCCTAGTTGTAGTCCCCCTTCCCATATTTTCTGTTGTAGTTATGTAGTCTATTAAAAACCCAATAAAATGACCCTCTTGGGGGGTTTCAAAAAGAAAAGGAAAAGGAAAATAATACTGTGCGGACAATCCCAAAGGGCAAATTTCCCAGGGACTTCAGATGTGGCTGGGATCGGGGCCAATTTGAAATATACAGGAGCCGGCCGTAAAATATAGATCCAGATCTCACCACCACCAACACCACCTCGAGCCCAGAGGTGGCATTTGCCCTGTCCCTGGTTGCGTGTACACAGACGAATAAGCTAAGTTATGGCACCTGGGGTTCTATCTGCTCTGGAAAGCCTAGCAGAAGAGAAACGGTAGACTTTTCTTTCTTTTTTTTGGGAGTATCATGGCAAGGTGACCCAGAAACACGCTAGAAGTCCACGTTAGACTGGAGTGGGATATTCTTGGGCCTCTGAGAGCCCGGCAGCTCCGTCTTGGGCAGGGCAGGGTAGATGGCATGGCTGCTGTTCAGCAAGTTCATGTTGGCGTTCCCTGCCGTGCGCGGCACCTCCTTTTCTCCGTCTTCCTCTCCCGGGACCCACTCAAGGTTTTGACGGATCAGATCCTCGTGGCTGAGTTCTTCCTGCAAACAAAGGACACCTGCTCATTCGGAGGCCTTTTGAAAAAGAAGAGGAGGAGATTGAGTTTATACCCCATGGCCCTTCACTACCCGAAGGTGTCTCGGAGCAGCTTACAGACTCCTTTCCCTTCCCCTCCCCACAACAGACACCCTGGGAGGTCGGTGGGCCTGAGAGAGCTCTGACAGAAACTGCTCTTTTTCAAGGACAGCTCTGAGAGAACTATGGCTTGCCCAAGGTCATCCAGCCAGGTGCAAGTGGAGGAGTAGGGAATCAAACCCGGCTCTGCCAGATTAGAGTCAGCCCCACCCACCCCACCCTTCCCCTCCCCACAACAGACACCCTGGGAGGTCGGTGGGCCTGAGAGAGCTCTGACAGAAACTGCTCTTTTTCAAGGACAGCTCTGAGAGAACTATGGCTTGCCCAAGGTCATCCAGCCAGGTGCAAGTGGAGGAGTAGGGAATCAAACCCGGCTCTGCCAGATTAGAGTCAGCCCCACCCACCCCACCCTTCCCCTCCCCACAACAGACACCCTGGGAGGTCGGTGGGCCTGAGAGAGCTCTGACAGAAACTGCTCTTTTTCAAGGACAGCTCTGAGAGAACTATGGCTTGCCCAAGGTCATCCAGCCAGGTGCAAGTGGAGGAGTAGGGAATCAAACCCGGCTCTGCCAGATTAGAGTCAGCCCCACCCACCCCACCCTTCCCCTCCCCACAACAGACACCCTGGGAGGTCGGTGGGCCTGAGAGAGCTCTGACAGAAACTGCTCTTTTTCAAGGACAGCTCTGAGAGAACTATGGCTTGCCCAAGGTCATCCAGCCAGGTGCAAGTGGAGGAGTAGGGAATCAAACCCGGCTCTGCCAGATTAGAGTCAGCCCCACCCACCCCACCCTTCCCCTCCCCACAACAGACACCCTGTGAGGTCGGTGGGGCTGAGAGAGCTCTTTCGAGGGCTGCTCTTGAGAGAACAGCTCTGAGAGAACTTGTGACTGACCCAAGGTCACACGAGCAGCTGCATGTGGAGGAGTGGGGAATCCAACCCGGTTCTCCCAGACTGGAGTCCGTGTTCCTAGCCACTACACCAAACTGGCTCTCACAAGACGAAAGGAGGACGGACTTTGTAAGCACAGCGATCGCGCTCTTTCTTCCAAAAGGACACTGGGGAAAGGGGGAAGACGTCCCAGGCTGAAATCAAGCCCAGGGCACACGTGGGAAAGGGGGCCATGACACAGTGATGGGACATTTGGTACACAGATTGTGTTCTCCGTCAGGAGCAAAGGCAACATCTTTCCTTTTAGCGCTACTGTGGATCTAGCCCTGATTCTGTGATCAAATATTTTAGCAGGCACTTGCAACCCAGGGGGCTGGCCTTTTTTGAACTCACTCCTGCTATGGGTCACTGTGCTTCCCAGAAGCCCCCCCTGTGCGCTACGTGAAGAACATATTTCATACAGAACAGAAGTCCTGGGCCCGCTCCAGAAGGCAGAGGGTGGATCTAGTGTACAGCAGGAGATCTCCTGGGATTACAACTGATCCCCAGACTACAGAGATCTGTTTCCCTGGAGGAGACGGCTGCTTTGGAAGGCGGACTCCGTGGCCTTCTACCCTGCCCGGCTCCTTCCCTTCCCCAAACTCTGCCCTCCCCAGGCTCAACCCCCCCAAACCTCCAAGAATTTCCTGATCTGGAGTTGGCAACCATAATAGGCAGGCCCAGGGGTCATTTCCTGCAGGAGCGCACAGGAGCGGAGCTCCGGCAGTAAAGAGCCCAGGGGGCGGGCACATGCAACAAGCCCTACCCCCTGCTCCCAGCAGCCCTCAGTCAGAGCAAGAAGCAGCCAGGTAAGTTGCAGAGGCCCCCCCAGTCCAAAACAGTCCAGCGACACCTTTAAGACCAAGTTTTATTCAGGTACAAGCTTTCCCTCCTCTGTGAGGGCAGATCTGTGTGCCCACCCCCATAGCTAGCAATCCAAAACAGTCCAGTGGCACCTTTAAGACCAAGTTTTATTCAGGTACAAGCTCTCCCTCCTCTGTGAAGACAGATCTGCACTCCCCCCCCCCAATAGCTAGCAATCCAAAACAGTCCAGTGGAGCCTAAGCGGTGGGTGTTGCCTTCTGACACACTTCCGTTGAGGTCAGGGTGTGTGGCATATGCAAATAAGTTATGCTAATGAGTTATGCTAATGAGCTCCTGCACCTCTTTTTCTACGAAATGACCCCTGGGCAGGCCACAGCATCCCGGGGTTAGGAGACCTACTTTGTTCCTGCGGCTGAGAAGCTTGCGGGTGTGATGTGTGTGTTGTGTGTCCTTTCTTCTTTACCTGGCTTCTTTCCAGGCTATCCAGCTTCATTCCCACCGCTTCGACCTTGGCCACGATGCTGCCAATGGAGTGCTCCAGCTGTTGCACCCGCCTCAGGAGTCTGCGGAAAGACAGGAAGGACAGCTAGAAACTCTCCTTCTGGGACTGGCATGGGGTTGGCGGCTGGGCAAGGAGGTGCCCTGGGGCAGCTCCCCTCCTGGTGTGGCTCTAATGAAGGTGGCAGGGATGTGAATGAGGCCCACGGCCACGGCATGCAGAAAGGAGGGGCAGTGCCCCCCCAATCCTTTGCCACGCCCCCTCCAGTCAGCATCAGGGGGTTGGTGTGAAATCTGCCCCAGTCTTTCAGGCGTAAATGTTCTTTGTAAAAAAGGAAGGCGTCGAGGTTAAAAAGTGGGGATCCAGTCACAAATCTCCCAAGGGTGGATTCTCTATGCAACCGGCTGGAACAGAATTGGCAGTTCGCAGGGCTGGAGGGCCCGGATTTTAAAAGCCTGCGGGGTGTGTGTGTGTGTGAGATCGTGCTGGAGTAAAGCAAAGATAGAGAGAGACTAAGGAGTGGCAGGATTAAAAAAAGGTGTTGTGGCAGGCTCAGAAGGAAGTCAAAGAACAGACAGAGAGAAGAACGGGAGGGTGTTTCGCAGTAGTCCTGTAGAACGCTTATTGCTGGGGAAATTGTTTTTGACAGAACGGGAGACAAAAAAATACGAAATGTAGGACCAGAGGTAAGTCAGCACAAACTTTCTTTGGCTGAGATACTGCTAGCCCATAGGAATCTCCTTCACAGAGGGGAGGGTTGTGGTGTTTCATGTTTGCTCTGAAGATGGGAAGTTGCTGGGACAGGATCCCACCTGTGGGCACTTCAGGGATGTTCAGGCCACCTTTGCTTGAGCCGATGTTCGCTCACTTGGAAAAGGACCCTACTCACCGCCTGACCCTGGGCACCTTATTTTACTTTTAGTCTACCTTTCTCAGTGAGACTCCCAACGGATTGCACAGTGTCAGTGCAATAAATTACAAAAAAAAAGACATCTAATAAACAGTGCAATAAGAGTGGGATGACAGCAATTGGAAACGCAGCAAAAATAATTACATGCGGTATGCCGTGTTCCCTCTAAGCTGAGTGAGTGTGAGCCAGCTCACAGTTTTTTAGCCTCCAGCTCAAGATCTTTGTCTTAGCTCAGGAAGGATGGCTCCAGACTGTAATGTATTCTCCGGGCTCCTCGTGGACGTTGGCAAGCCTGTGTCTCGAGGTCTGCCCTATGTGTCTCAGGAGACCTGGCAACCCCCCCCGGGACTCCCCCCCTTTTGCCCCGCCTGCCTGAGGCCCCTCAGGAGGAAAGCCAGGCCCCTCGCCTCCGCCCTCTTGCTACCCACACGTGGAACTCCTCCTCCTCGGATCCCGAGCGGGACTTGTTCGCTTGATTGTTCTTTGCCAGGGTATCCCCCAAGCCGTCGCCCCTGAAAGATTTCCCGAAGTTCTCGATCTCTGCGTTCAGCGCCACCTGGAAAGGAGAGGAGAGGAGTCGTGTTGTCCTGGGCAGGTTCTCCTGTAACACTGCAAAATACTTCCACTACTGCTGCTGATCTAAAAATCTACTACCATCCCCAAAGTCCTTTCCTGCGGGAGGGCACAGGAGCAGAGCTCCAGCAGTAAGGAGCCCAGGGGGCGGGCACATGCAACAAGCCCCACCTCCTGCTCCCAGCAGCCCTCACTCAGAGCAAGAGGCAGCCAGGTAAGTTGCAGAGCCCCCCCCCAGCCCCCTGGCCCCAAACAGTCCAGTGGCACCTTTAAGACCAAGTTTTACTCAGGTACAAGCTCTCCCTCCTCTGTGAGGACAGATCTGCACGTT